CTATGGTAGATTACATCCTTACAAACAATGCACAATATGTTACAACATAATTAAAATACAAAACAATGATGTCAAAGTCCTTTTGACCTTTAAAATCATAGGTCTAACTTATTTGGGACTTTGATTGTCCTGCTTGACCTTCTCAGTGGCTTTTGATTTGGTGACTCAAGATTCTGACCATCTGGATTCTCTATCTCAGGAGGTCTAGGATCAAAATCATTAATTCCAGAATTTACATTTTCTGACTCCAGACTACTTGGTTCACTCATATCAACAGAACTTGGTTGTGGAACAAACTGAGTTGGTGTGAACTGTTCAGATTTGGTGGGATTGACAGATTCGCACTTATTATCTGCACAAGTTATTTTTAACTGGTCTGCATGTCTACGGACAATAAGTCCATCATTTGTTTTTACTTTATAAGACACAGGTCCTGTACATTGAACAATTTGACCTGGTATCCATTTTTCCTTTCTCCCATAATTTCTTAGATACACATTCTCATTAACACCAAATTCTCTTTCAATGCATGTTTTGTCATGATTTAATGGAACTATTTTTGAATTGGCATCTGGAAGTATTATGCTGTTATTCAGATCCTTGACTGACATAGATTTCTTTGATTGATCAATTTTCTCAGGTAATCTGATAGTGCTTTCCTGGTAACCAAAAATACTGTTTAAAAGTACTATCCTGGACCATATCAATTTGCAACTGTGATCCAGTATTTGAAGTGGGTGTATTAAATGGCAAAAATCTTTTTTTCTTTTGATGTTACCCTTTTAGTTTCTGTAAGTGCTAATGATGTTAGCAAAGTTGTTTGATGATCACATTCCTTCTTACTAATGTATTTTCTTTAAAAGCATTTGAAATTGCCATATCACCATAATCATTTATTAAGTTACAAATACTTTGTTTAGGCAACTCTGACTGATAATGGACTGCATCTTCTCCATCTTTTAGACTTAATTCCATTTTTCTTACTTTATATGGCCTTAAGTCATCATTCACAGACTCTTCAGGCCAACCATTCTTACAGTACTCATATACTTTTATTAAGCACTCATCTTTTTGTGTTTCTCTTTTAATATCATTCACATTTATATTGGAGTTATCCATGATAGTGAAGAGAACAAATACATCTTCTGGTACATAGCTAAGGCTTTGGTTTTTTAAAGGTAATCTACTAAGACTATCTGCACTATTCTCAGATCCAGGTTTGTATTTCAATTCATAATTGTATGCCGTTAGTGTGATAGCCCATCTTTGAATTCTTGGTGAGGCATGCTCAGGTAGGGTTTTGTTTTCTCCAAATAAACCTAGCAATGGTTTATGATCTGTAAAGATTGTGAACTTCCTACCAAACAGAAACTTATGAAATTTCTTAACACCAAAAATGATGCCTAAGCCTTCCCTATCTAACTGAGAATAATTTTTCTCAGCCTGGTTCAAAGATCTACTGGCAAAAGCAATGGGTCTGTCACCCTTTTCATCCATGTGGGACAAGACTGCTCCTACACCATCTGGTGAAGCATCACATGTTAATATAAGTCTTTTCCCTGGGTCATAGTGAGTTAGTAAGGTGTCAGAAGACAAAGCTTCTTTTGCTGTATTAAAAGCAGCATCTTGTTGTTTACCCCAGTGCCAAGTTGCATTTTTCTGCAGCAGCTTGTACAGTGGTGATAGTTTACCAGACAGATTCCCTATGAACTTTGCATAGTAATTTATCAAGCCCAAAAAAGCTCTTAGTTGTTGGGTATTTTCAGGTTTGGGTGCTTCTTTAATGGCTTTTGTTTTCTCAGGTTGAGGTCTGATACCTTGCTTGCTTAATATATAACCAAGAAAACTAATTTCTGTCAGCATGAATTGACATTTATCTTTGTTTATCTTTAAACCTTTTTCACCAACTATTTTCAAGACTTTATCAAGTGTTTTAAGATGTTCAGTGTCATTCTTACCAGTTATGTACATATTGTCAAAGTAAACACAAACATTTGGAATATCCTTAAAAATACTGTCCATGACAGCTTGGAAAATTCCAGGGCTAGATGATATGCCAAAACATAGTCTTTCATATTGGTAGAGTCCTTTATGTGTGTTTATTGTCGTATAGACTTTTGAATCTGGATGCAGTTCTAGTTGAGTGTAAGCATGACTAAAGTCTAATTCAGTGAATTTGTCTCCTGCCAAATTCAAAGAAATTTCCTCAATGTTAGGAATAGGGTACCTATTTAGCTCTATTTGCTTATTCAGCGTAGCTTTATAGTCTCCACAAATTCTTACAGAACCATCCTTCTTTAACACTGGCACAATGGGCGTTGCCCAATCGGAATAGTCTACCTTCTTTATGATGCCATTAGATTCCAATCTACTTAGCTCATTTTCAATTTTATTCCTCATTGCATAAGGTGGAACTCTAGCTTTGCAGTATCTTGGATTTGTGTCTTTAATGCTTAACTTCACTGTTCTATCATTTAGTAATCCAGGATTACCAAAAACACATTTATTTTCAGATATAACTTTATCTATTGAAGTAAGACTAGATTCTCTTGCATTGTTCAATGAACATATACTCTCCCAATTTAACTTAAGATCACTTAACCAGTTCCTACCTAGTAATGGTGGTCCATTTCCTTCAACTACAAGAAGAGGAAGTTTAACACTTTGACCATTATAACTTACATGAACCATACACTCTCCTATTACCGGAACATTGTCACAAGTGTATGTTGTTAGACACTTGTGACATGGTTGTAGAGGCACTGATCCTCCTGTGACAGCGTCAAAGTCCTTCTTTGTGATGACTGTTAGAGATGCTCCAGTGTCAAGTTGGAAGCTGATGCTCTTACCGTTGATATAAACTGGTACATTGATGGGAGCATGACTTATTGATTTCACAGAGAACAGGTTGAAATCCGGCTGCGAATCAGTTTGAGTATTTTCACAGGTAGAGTGGTTCATTGGTTGGGTTAGGTAGTCTTGGTAAGAGTTAACATAGTGCTGCCTTTGGTTGCGGTACTGTCTTGACTGGCTAGATTTAGCAACAGACGAAGACTTTGCAAAGCAGGCCTTGACAATGTGACCTTGCTTACTGCACTTATAACAAGTTGCTAACTTGAACTTGCATCGATGAGATGCATGGGGACCGTTGCATCGATGACATTTTTGATCATTATTACTAGATTTAGATCTAGGATTTGAACGTGCAGGCTGTTTAGCATAAGTTGAAATGCTCTGATGGGGTTGATGTTTGTTGACTAACCTGCTGTTTACTGCATGGATCTCTGAAGGTGCTAGAGATCTCGCCGCCTCGGATGACTGCTGGAATGAAGTTGCTAGTTGTATTGCTTTTTCTAATGTTAGATCTGACTCGAGAAGCAACTTTCTTTGAATATCAGGGCTATTTACACCTGTCACAAACTTTTCACATAGTCTGTCAGGCAGCGTGTCTCCGAATTCACAGAATCTACTTAAATGACGTAAAGCAGCAACATATTCTGATATCGACTCGTTTGGTTGACGAGTCCTACCGTCAAATCTAGCTCTAGATAGAAACTTTGATGGGGCGGGCGCATGGTGGTCTGTTAGCAGTTTGCTCAGCTCGTTAAAGCTCTTGGTATCTGGACTAGCTGGTGCGCATAAGTCCTTTAGTAGCCTAAATTGTTGAGGCCCTATGACTGTTAACAAAACAGCTCTCTTTTTGGCTTCTATCGTCACGTCGTTAGCTTCAAGGTAAAAGCTTAACCTATCTAGATAATCATGAATGGTTTCATCATTCGAATCAAATTCTTTTATTTGGCCATACAGTGCCATTATTCTAGAAATACTTAGCCAATATGCTCTAGCAAACCTCTTTTTGAGTAAGTAGGTGCTCTTTCTAGTGGATTATTTATCCTCGTCGCCAGATGTAATGGATTGACGATAGAAGCATGTGGTTGTATATAAAACCTTTATTGGCCTCCAACTACATGATGATAACGAGAGAGGGCGGAAGTGACGAGAGACAAAGATATATATACATGTAAGGGACATCACTCAAGATAACAGTATAAATATAATACTAATACAAGAAGAGTGAGTTCCCTTGACTTCACAAGTCTCACTATATTACAGTATGGGTAAGTCCAGTTCTAGTAGTAAGCTTTGTTTGTTATATGTAGCCTATTGCAGAAAATTGTCTTGCCTACAATAACTAGAATGTACGGAATGTATACCCGTAGACTAGTAATAGTCCATACTTTAGCGTATAATATAGATCTTTTGGTACATTTTAATCAGGAGATATAAAACAGTTAGCCACTAAGCCTATTCTAAAAACGTGGAGCACAATTTTATGTATGAATTTTACACTGTAGAGTAGGCCTGTCATAACATTCCAGTAGGCTACAATCATATACTAGTAGAAGAGTACTACCAGTAATATTTTCAAAATATTTTTTTATGCGGCTCATTGTAACTTCTATGTGAAGCTTCCAGCAAAAGCAGGTTCAGTCCAGCGACTGTTACTACACAAGAAAGACCACAGACAAGAATGTGGCACAAAGGAATAAGGGAATAGGACATATCGGCACCTTTCTCTGTGTTTGGCACAATCAGAAGAAGGTATAAGTTGTGTTCCCATAGCAAATCCAGTCTAAAACAATACTCATAATACACTTTTGAGTTATGTTTATGTGTGAAATTTATAAAAAATGATTGTTATAATGATTGCAATGTTATTAGTTAATAAATTTTACAATTTATTCATGATTTGTAAATTTTTTATTTTTCTGGAAAAAAATGTTCTACATTTCTGACGGTACTTTAAGTACCAATATCTGTTTTGACCATTAAAAATTAACGACTTCGACTTATGTTTTAAGTGTGCCAAAAGCAATTTAGTAACACATTGTTTAAGACAAAATATCATTCAGAACTTAATTTCGCGAATAAAGGGTTAAATGAGCAATGCTCAAGACTCAAGTTAAGGAAGCGGAAGTAGTTGTCTTCAGAAAGGGTCAGGAAAGTGTCACGAAACGAAAGTATCGTAAATCATTAGGAACTTTCATATTTTGTTTTTATCGTTCAAAATTAAGACAGGCAGAGTTCATAGGCCTAACTATAGATTTTTTTAAAAATATTGCTTTTCTCTCGGCTAGATACCCATAATTTATATTTTAGTTAGACTAAACTAGATAGATTCTATCTAGATCTAGATCTAGATCTAGATCTTGAAGTTGATCTAGAAATAGAAATCTACACTTGTTGACTTAATCTTAAATCAGTAGTAGATCTAGAATCTAAATCTAATCTAGACGTAGACTAGCTAGACTTCACTAGAGACAATTATTATTGAAATCTACATTTTAGGCCAATTTAGACTTTAGGGGCCTAATTTAATTATAAATTTAAAAAATAATTAGACCTATAGGGCCTAATAATTAGTTAATTAGGCCTACTAAGCCTATATTAATTTAGCTAGGCCAATGCAAAAATTTAATTTCAGTAAAACAATATAATAGTTACATATTTGGATAGGGGCTGTCAATCTGATTACAGATCAGTTTGAATTTTCAAAATCTGACCATAAACAAAAAAGTTATGAATTTTTTAGTCATTAAAAAACAGCAGTTTTTTCAGACAACCGGTGTAGACCCTGAAAGAGGAAAAATACTGGGAGGGTATGGACCAAACTTTTAAGCGTTTTTCACTAAAAGTGGTATAAAAGCCAGAATACTTTATCAATTGATGTAATTTTAAGACATTTTATAGATTTTTGTATGCTGAATCCAATGATGCTATTTTAAAAAGTGCCCTTCGATTACTAAACCTACTAATCTCATAGATTATGTAATACCCCCCTTTCAATTTTTTTTTAAACATCAAATAATCAATGTGATAAGAAGTCATTCTTTAAATGTAATGCTGTTTTAATCTAAAATATGACATTTGTATATGCTCAAGCTAATGGTAGATTTAAAATGGTCCAACATTGTTACATAACTATCAAATGTTAAGGTTATGTAATCCCACCCTTTGCTCAAAATATACCATGAATTTGTTTTAAAATCACTTTTGCTCATTGTCAGTTAACTTCAAGTTAATAGCCTACTAGAAGAAAATATAACTAATCAAGTTTTTCAATACAAAGAAAAGAATGCTATAGTAAATTTGTGATTATGTAACTTCTTAAAAGATGTTATGTAATCTATGTTCAATACTATAGGCCTACTCTGTTCCAAAATTAAAGGCCTATCTCATTATAATTATATTTCTTGTTATTTTAAATATCTTAATCCTTGTTGCTATAGAATTAGTCTAATTACAAATGTGTTTGATCAGAATCAGAGTGTGCTTTATGGTTATTACGTAATATTATTACCCATATTAAAGTTAATCATTTTTACAATATCAATAAAATAAACTTTGGAGGAAAATATTTTTTTTTAAAACTTGCACAAGGTATAGTTAAGTTATAGATATATAACATAAATGTATATGCTTTATGCTAAATGTTTATGCTAGTAGTAAGTAGGTTTATGTATTTTGTAAGCCTACCAGTAGGCCTTTTACAATTAACAACTTTCTTAAGAAAAATGCACCTGTTTGAGTGCTGGACTGTGTAGATCTAGTAGATTCTAGAAATTGTGTAAGATTACCGTGTTTGGCTATACACAGACACATGTACCACCACCAGCTTTTGCCTAGATTTAGTTCAATCAGACATGTGGGTAACCAGGTCTTCTGACCAACGAATTTTATTGCCCTATTACATAAACTTAAACACGACCGCTGGATAGGCTAGTCGGCCAACCCAATGAACGTGTCAGATGAATATTATGTAATCTCAGAGACAAAAGTCTGGCAAGATTTCCTGATCTATGCCCGAGGGTTAGTAACATCAACTCCACAAAGTGAAGGGGGAGGGAGGTGGGGTATGAAACCACCGTGTACCGTACGGGTGTTATACAACATCAAAAGCGATGCTCGTCGGCTTGTTGCGTCACGGACTAGTGGGGGCGGGGTGAGGTTATGGGTGTTACATACGGTGTAGGATGGTCAGTGGCTACCCCCATCCACCCCACCCCATTTTGGTCGATTTGACAAGCTAGTAACTCCCACGTTGTTAGTGGTATTAACATTTGTAGAAAAGAGCCCCGGATATAATTTAATTTATTTTTAAAGCCATTTTTACGAAAATGTAATGTACACAATAATAAAACGTTACACGAATCACAAGCACATCACAGCATTGTTTGATCGGGCCGAAGCTATTCGGATTAATTTCTAAAGAAGATTAATTTTGACGATTAGTCCTCAGCCGTAAATACTAACAAAACTTTTGTTTGACGTTTCAATGGGTTAAGACAAAGTTATGCAACATGTCTGTGTGCTTATAAATATAAAGTAGCAATAGCCGTCGAGTCAAACACGGGAACACATGTATCTATCTTTAGACATTGTTTATAGTATCATCCAATCGGATCAAGCGCCTAGCGTCACGTGACCACACACTCGGCTGTGCCACACGATGTGTAGATCACCAATCAGTCGGACGGCGGCCGACGCGTTAATTTTTATTTTAAAATGTATGGACGGCTTTATTACGAGGTGTTATAATACATGTCATACATTAAAATAATCGGCGGGATTTCGGGAATACAGCTCAAGGTTCAAATGTAAAATATGTCAAATAATAGACCGGGAAACTTGGTTCAACTTTGCGGTCCGATATCTCCACAAGTATTTAACTTATTTTGACCACGAACCCTGAGCGTTATACGTCTACATTTAATGTATTCGTTTGCCAAATTTAACTGTTGTAGTACGTAAACTCGATACGTGTATACAAATTTCGTAACGCGTCATCAGGTTAAAGACGGCGATTCGAAGCATAGCAGGGCGGTTCAGTCAGACAGCGGTCGGCGCGTCGTGTTTATATTTTCGGTCCACTTCAAAGTCTATAGACGTCCTTATTATAGGGCCTTATAGGACATATCATACATATTAATAAACGTCGAGATTTCAGGAATACAGCTCAGGGTTCAAATAAAAAATCGATCCATAAATAGCTAAAATAACTTAGTTTAACTTTGCGGTCTGATATCTCCGAAAGTGTTTAACATATTTTAACCAAGAACCCTGAGCGTTATACGTGTACATTTAATCTATTCTTCTACCAAGTTTCACAGTTGTAGTACGAAAACTCACAGAGTCTATAGACTCCAAGTAACACCCCCCTTTTAAAAAGGTGAAAAAGCCTCCCCCCTAATCGGCACGTCGCCGCGGAGGGTAAAAAATGCGATTTAATCGGCGATTTCTTCAACGTCTGAAATAATACAGAAATCAAACTTATACAGTTTAAAAGGTTATTCAATTACGAACAGAATGATGTATAACATGTTAATATAAACACAATAAAAGCATGCAAAAAACAGAGTTAAACATGCAGGGGGTAGTGAAAAGCCAATTTGTCCGATTTTCTCGGCAGCGGCATTGGCCTAGCTAATTAATTACTAATAATTAGTTAGGCTAACAAAACAAAATATTAGGCAGGCCCTATAAAAATAATAAAATTAGGCCTAATCTAAATTTCTAGATGTGGTCACCAGAGCAGAGATCTTATCGATTCTTATCACTAGATCTAGATCTCGCTAAATCTAGAGTCTAATTCTAATTAGGCCCTAAGTAGGCCCTAATTAGTTTAGTTAGTAATTAATTAGATCTAGATCTGAAGAGGTTTAAAAAACAGACTCAGATTGTTTTGTTTTAGAATTTTCACCAAAATTATACCGGAGCCATGGCTGTGGTTTATCTAGATTAGAAATCTGGGCCTAAGAAACTTTTTTTTTTACACAAAGACTGTAGACTAAAGAATTATAGAATGTGTAGTCTTAGTCTGGCTTTGGCTTTGTCCATCTTCATAGCTAGTAAATAATACTAAATATAGGCCTAGTGCATAGCCATAGATCTAGAATTCTAGGGCAGGGAGTCAGTGTCCTTGAATGTGCCCAGAAAAACGCACTAAACATTGACTATTGATGAATGAAAATTTATATCTTTTGTGTTATCATAGGGGATTAATACGAAAAGAAAAAGCTTCATTAATACTATGATGAGAATGATAAATTAAATGGTAACAGGTAGCAGTTTACAATAGGCAGTGTAATCCAAAATAAACAGTCATGGCTGATCACTCACTGCGATCATGTCCATATGACCAGGCTAATATCTTTTCCAAAATCACCTTTTGGTATGTTGTTTTACTATTTTTTACATATATTCCTTTTATGTTACGCTAATAATACTAGCCTATAGGCCTACTTCTATTTTCATACTGATTTTTTTTGGCCTAAATATTTAAATTGTAAAAAAATCGGCCTAGGGGCCTAAATATAAATATATTTGCTGTTTCATTAAATGTTAATGATGCTCAGATTACTTGCAAGTAGACAGATTTTAAACATATATTTTTTGCACTTTATTTCTGCAGGTGGATGAATGCCCTCTTTAAAATGGGCTTTAAAAATGAGCTATCATCAATGAATATTTGTGAAGTATCCAAAGAAGATGAGTCGAGCCGCTTAGAGTCTAGGTTAGAAAGGTATGTAATATTGTAATCAAGTTGTGTTACATTACATGATTAAAAATAAAATGTTAATTTTCTAAATTTATGTTTCTCAACAAATAGCTACACTCCTGTTTAGCAGGACACACATAAATATATAAGATTAGGCTTGGAGTCTATGGTAAAAATGAAGGCTGAGATTAGATTTTTTTTTAATAAACAGTTGTTCTGCATAAATTGTATTATTGGGTTTATCAGCTAAATACTGAAACATGTCATTGCTAATAGTGCAAAAAATTTCATGCTTTACTCATACAACATAATTTTTTTTCAGATACTGGAAAGAAGAAGTCCAGAAATTTTCTGAAGGTGGGAAAGCAAGTCTGTTTCGGGCCATTCTTAAAGCATTTAAATGGCAATGGTTATTGCCTGGTGTCCTAGTTTTAATATTTGTAAGTACACTTAGCAATATGATTTTTAAAAGATCTATTTAAACTCATTAAATAACATCATTACTTAACCATGGTACACAGGTTTGTAATATGAAAACTTCAGTTCTTAGTGGGGTTTTTTAAACATTTTATTATAAACTAGATAGTAAATTATTTTTAATAGAGTGTTTTTTATAAAAAAAATTTAATCGTAAGAATTCTTTTTATTACTCTACTATTAATATATTGGTCAAAATTAGTATGTACTAGATGACCTGTATCATCTGTAAAATAATAGGCTTCAAAAATACACTTATCATCCTTAACAAGTTTATCTTACTCTATATTGAACTGAAGTGGTGTTTTTGTTTCAGGAATCTGTGAAGTTAGTGCAGCCTTATCTGATTGGTCTGCTGGTCACCTATTTCAACAGTGAAGTAGATGCTGTGTCAGAATCCACAGCCTATGGGGTTGGTGCTTGCCTAGGGATAAGTGCATTGATTCAAGTATGTGTGAATCCAACTTATTTTTTCATCATGCAACATGTCGCATTGCGAATGAAAGTTGCTGTTGGGGCGCTCATTTACAGAAAGGTATGATTTTAAAATTGAAGAATTGGATTTTGTTTTAATAAGGTGAAGGAGATAAAATGTCCTCATATTATTGTTACTGGTATTAAATTTTTTTTATTACACATTTATTTTGACAAGTTCTACATGAAAAATGTTAAGCATAGTAATGTTTATTCAATTTAATTATCTTTTTGTATATTTGTATACATTGAGTCTATGAAAATAAGATTATTAAGATAAAATAAAATTTATTAAAAATTATTTTGCAATGTTATATCCAGGTTTTATCATTAAGCACAGAAGCTTTTCATCAGACATCTTCTGGTCAAATAGTAAACCACCTATCCACTGACTTGGAAAAATTTAATTCAGTAAGCCACTGATTGTTTTTTTTTGTTATAAATTTATTGGAAAAATTTTATAGCAATTTTTTTTTTCCAAGATGGTTGCTAATGTGTTTGTTATACTATTTTGTCAGTCAATTGACCTGCTGCACTACTTGTGGGTATCTCCATTGTCTATAATTATCGTCATGTACCTCATGTACCAGCAAGTTGGGATTGTTTGTTTCTGGGGCTTGGCAGTTGTTGCTGTGATTGTCCCACTGCAAGCTGGTCTTTCATCTGTGTTTGGAAAAATAAGGTTCGGAAAAAAATATCTTAAAAATATATACATTATAAAAATAAACTGAATGATAATACATAAAAATACATCATTGAATTTTTTGTTAAATAGGAAATACAATTTTAATTAAAAACCACAACTAGAAAATAAGAGGCGAAACTATTTTTTCAGGCAAAAAATTGGTAGTTACTCTGATAAACGAATCCAGCTCATGTCAGAGATTATTATGGCAATGCGCATGATTAAAATGCAGTGTTGGGAACAGCCATTTCAAAACCTTGTATCCAAGATCAGAAGGTAAATATACTTATTTTAAAATAATTATTCTAGTTAAAAAGGCAGTTTTCTAAGTTTTTCAAACAGTTTTCATTTCCTAATAGAAATGAAGTAATGTTTTAGTTGCAAACTTTAAAATATGTGGAGCCTGTAGGGATAACTCTACAAGCTCTGTTTTTGTTTTGAATAAGTTTATTCCCAGAGCATGCCCTTTTTGAGATCTTGAATAACCTTCATTTGCCTGCAGCATCTGTAACTTGCTCCTAATTAAGTGTGTACATGACAAGGAATGTTCTCTCTTCTTGCAGAATTTTGCATTCCATTAGCACTTTGCATTTAACCCAACTTAAAAATCATACTGTTTGCTTAAAAATAACATTCGAATCACTTTTTTTATAATGTTCATTTTTATTGAAGTTTTATCTTGTGATAAATTTTATGAAATAATTTCATTTTGAAGGAAAAGTAGATGCAGTTTATCAAAACACAAAATATTCTTTAGTTAAATAATTTGAATTAATCATGACTTTTTAAAATAATGTGGTTGTTTATGGTTACAGTAGATTAATAAAAGCATTGTCACCATTTAATCTACTGCATGGTGAAGCAAGGAGTTTATTGGTTTTTTTTTTAATATTTTATTTCAATTTTTTTTAAAAAGTTGCTTATTTAAATTGAAACAGAGAACAGATGTCCTTCATCCAAACTGGGGCTATCCTCAATGGATTCTCACTGCCCATTGACCAGCTGTGTGGCAAAATAGTGTTGGGCTTAGTGCTAACCTTAGCCTGGATGGAAAGGCCATTTCTCCAGCCTTCCTCTTTCTTCATCATGTACTGTCTCTCCGAAGCTCTGAAGAGCTCATTTTTCTACATTAATTACTTTGCGGTAGTAAGGAATTTTCAACTGTCTGAATCCCTGATGAGGGTGCAGGTCTGTGGCGGCTTGATGTCTATGAAACTAATTTTTGTATTGGCATCGTTTGTCCATCTCAATGTTGTGTCTCTCTACAGATCTCAGTGTGGCTTTTTCAAGTTGCAAAAAGTATTTTCTTGTCACGTAAAATTATCAAGGCTGCAAAAAAATTTGTTTTTCTGCATATGCATTGTGCAGTCTGGTTGAGAGTTAGCATTTTCTTTGTAAATGATGGTAAAAGATATTCATCTTTTTAATGTTTGAATTCTTGTTTATCATTCTTTCTTTTGTATGTTTTTTTTTGTTTATTATCTGTTGTATTGCTTAGTTCAGCTTAAATTTAAAAATAGATATGGCAACAAAACTTAAGATAAACAGATTTTCCCTTTATTATAACATAATATATTAGAGGATGAAAAAAACTTTGAGATTGTTATCATAATAAAATCTTTGTAATAAAATATGTATTTTACCTTAAAACATAAGAAGTTTTATTAAATCTTATTGATTACATTCATATTCTACAGACGCTACACCATTTAATATTTGAATGTTTACTGATTTGAAAAGTTTTTTTTTCTTTAAATCTGTTGCAACAGAGATTATGTACAATAATTCTATACAGTTCACATGTATTTGTATATGACTGTGATAGTAAGCAACAAATCTGTGGGGACTATAGGAACATGTTATCTCATTTATTTTTCAGAGTTTTACATTATTCTGAAATTACAAAAATTTTCCTGTGCTTAAAAATTTAATTTATCCAAGTAAGACAATTCCAAATGACCACAAACATTATCTGCTAAGAGTAAGAATACATTATTTTAATGTAAATTTGCTTTTATTTTTATATAATGATATATGTGTGGTGTAAATAGCGATTTGGCCTTTTGTTGAAATCAAGCATGTATTTACATATTTAGATAACTGACCTTTTGTCTGAAGTATATATCAAAGGTGATGTAGTGTGCAGGTTTAAGTCAGTATTCATGTATGCAACTTTTTATTGTGTTGGGTTACCTTTATCGCATTTATCATTCAAGGCAGGAAATATATCTTTATCATGTTGGCGCCACACTGAAAACATTTACCCGGGGTTTCCAGGACATCTCTCCCCGCCTGATGATGATGGCCATTTTGGTAGCCGCTTATCACACCAGTGGTCAGTCAGTTACGCCCAGTATGGTCTTCACTATTGTTGGATGGCTGGAGGTTGTGCGTCTCACTGGGTTTTATTTTATTTACTTCTCCGTGGAAAATATCAGCCAGCTCTTCATGTCCATGTTCCGAGTCCAGGTGTGTTGGGTGGTGAAGTGACTCAAAGTACTTGTAACAAACAATTTTTAAACTTTTGTTTTCCACCCATTATTAGATTTTTTTAACCTCGTAGATTAATAAGATTGGTGCTTTATTCTTTGTAAAAAAAAAAGGAAATTGTAAATTTTTTTGGTGTATAAAAACAAATTGCTTGTTTGTTAAATATAGTTTTGGCTTTAAATTTGTTGATTTACATCCCTGTTGCAGATGCTTCTATGCATGCTAGCTTTCTAAACTTTGCTTCCAAGCCATCTTTTTATGTTTTAGAATTTTATTATGTTTGATTCTTTCTTTGTATTGGATAGTGTTATTACTGCTGCATAAACAATAGTACAAAGTAATTGTATAGTGTTGATAGAAACATCCATGGTTTGACTTAATATTGAAGAGATACACTATTAAAGTTGTAAGGGTGAGCCGTGGCCCCAGTTTTTAAGTTGCATCATGTTTTAGTCTAACTATGACATGTTGGATTCATTTTAATTCACATCAACTTTAAAATGTACTTAGGATATGTGAGTTTTACAGTTATTCAGTTACTCCAAATTTATTACACACCATGCATACTTCATGTCGGTTCTTTAACTGCTAAAATGATTTCATGCAATAGTCAGTTAACAAGTTGATGTTAATGGAAATTTATGGTTTTTTTTTTTTGCTTCTGGTGCCATATTGAAAGTAATTATACTAATGCAATTTAATTTTTTTAAAATAACTAATGAAATTTACCTCTTTTTTTAACCTTTCCCCTCCCACCTCCTCGTTTACTCCCACACTTTGATCCTTTCAAAACCATTTTGTAGGACAATATATCAAATAAATACGTTATTTTGTTTTGATGTCCCACTTATGTTCCTAAGAACACACATTTTGCTGAACATTGACTTAGCAGTACAAAATTTGGTGCCATATATCTTTTATTGCTAATAATGTTGATTGTTTAAATATTAATATTACTATAGTAGTTTTATTTTCAGTCATATAATTACCTTACCAGTAAGCATCCTATGTGAGAATTTTTGTTTTTAATTGGAAATTTATGTTCAACCTCTCATGTACAAGTGGATCTAAAGCTGGAATTGATAGTTGAAGCCCAGTGTCATTTTAGAACTTTTTTAAAAGAAATTTTTATCCTGAAGTCATCTTGTCATTTAAAAAAAAATCAAGTATTGTTTTTACACAACAGCTAAAATAACTTTGTCACTATGCTTAAAATAAAATTATCAACAGATCAGAGACTACTCACAAGCGTTTGTCTGGGGTAGTTCAGAGCTTAGAATCTGGTGTACAAATGACATCAGCCCGCCTAGCCCTGCTGGCTGTGGTGTTGGGTCTCTGGTACAACGGTACCAGCGGCTCCGCTGATGTCTTCACCACAGTCGCGTGGCTGTGCGTGCTGCAGGATTCTGCATTCAAATTCCCTGTGGCTGTTTTACGAGAGTTAGGGAACCTGCAGAGCTCATCTGAGCTTGTGCAGGTGAGGTCACACTTCTATCAACATAGAATTTCCTTTATCTCAGTATACTGTAACCACTTTATATGTAAACTATTTAAATTTCATGGGGTTGGTTTTTTATGTCTTTTTGACATTAATTAATTTTCATGTCTTGGCATATATACTCAAGTGTTTTCATTTGATTTTAAAATAATTTTGTTCTACTGTTTAACATTTTTCCAGCTTTGAGTATATCGTATACTAACCCAGCAGATTATAACCACAAGAGTTTCATAAATGAACAACTACTTAATTTGTTTAATTTTAATATAATTAATTAGTATATGTCAATTATTTTTCAAAACTGGAACATAACATCTCTTTTCTAACGCTTTTATGTAAGTTAAACATGTTATTGGGATGTATTTACCTTTTAAAATTATGAATTTTCTTTTTTTTAAAACTCCGCTTCACATAAAAAAGTATTCATCACAGTTTAAAAAGTAAATTATCACTAATGTTAATTTTGCACCACATTAAGGCTGCATTTAAAATGAATTTAATTGTATTTCTACAACACCGCTTAAAGATTTTTAAATGCAGTTAACTGCTTATCTGGAGTTTCATTATTTAATACCTCCACTAACATTCATAATCTTATTTTTATCTCTTTTATTATAATAAAGGAATTATTTAGTATTTGAAGGTTAAAACAATCATTCAAGTATATCAGTTTTAAAATAATGTTTACTATTGCCTTTACCAAAACATTGAAACTATCAGTGCTAAATGTATTTTGTTTACTTTATTTTAAAACTACATAGCAACCAGAAATATTGTCAGTTATTGATATCAGGTAAAATTCTGCACCTTGACTGACTTACCTAAATGACTTGATACTTGTGATGCAAACTTGATGCCCTATGTTAGCACAAAAGCCCATCCATTTCTCTAGCAAAAATAATACATTATACTTGTTTTAAATATATTTTGAAGCTTTAGTTGTTGCCCACACTTTGCATGCTTGTTCTGCTAAAAAGTTTCAAACTAAAGTTACCTGCATGCTACCTGTGATCTTTACCTGTTTGATAAAGTACATTAATAATCTAATCTGCATGGCTTTTTAAAAATGTATTTAATTTTTACTGTTACATAAGAATTAATAATACTATTTCATTAAACTACTTTCAAAATTTTTAAAAACTTAAAAGCTAATATTTTTTTTAAACCATGAAAGTGTAATTTTTCTTTTCATTATTTTTTAAAAACCATAATGTTTTTAAAATAATAATATCTTTATCATAGAATTATAGTTTCAACAATTTGTTTATTTTAATTTTTGAGATTGTATTACATTTTTACTGATTGGTTTTTTAATTGTAATATTTACTCAGCAGTTTCACATAAAAAATAATTTTCATGCTATCCAACTGTAGACCTTCCTTTTACTGGATGAGGAGAAGGAACAAATCAAAGACCTCAATCTCCACCGCTCCGTCAGCTATCGCAATGAACCACATTCTGATTGGGCTGTTGACATAGATCACATGACCGCCAGATGGCCAGTAGTGTACACAGAGGGCAAGAGGAGATTCCAGAAGAAAAGGGAGAGAACTAGTACAAGTTCCACCAAAAGCCTTTTGCATGAGGTAAGATAGGGGTGTTCTACTGTTTTGAAGAGTTGTAGAAAGTACTTCATTTAACTCTTTCTGGCAATGGAGACCTTCATTCAGAGTTAGCATTGCAATTTTTATCGATATTAGTTTCCCTAAACATTATGTTTCAAGTATCCATTATACAATATTTAGATAAAATTGTTTCCAGGTACTGCTGATATGCATTACTAAATCTCTATGCAAGGAGAATATTTACCCTGAGAAAGATATAGAATATACATTTTAGAAATAAAATGTTTCTTAAATAAACTTCTGAATTTCAAAAATGTATTTTTGAATGTTTATTGTTATGTTTGTTGCATTTTTACAGAGTGATGTGGATCATGCTTTTTCTTTGAAATATATTTCTTTGAGTATTAAAAAGGTATGTATTAATTTTAAAAACATTGACTTAGTAATAAAATACAAAAACTTAAATTAAAAGTTCAATAGATTTAGTAATTATATTTATAAATCTATATATAATATATAAATTATTTATACATATATAAAATGTTCAAACAAAATCTTTGAAATGCATGTAATGCTTTTATTGCTCATAGATTCTATATTGTATGAAATGTCTTTCAGGGTGAACTGTTAGCAGTGGTTGGTGTTGTTGGATCTGGCAAGGTAAACAACTCTAAATTCTGGTTAAAGAACAATCCCATAGTTAAAAATGTCATTTGGTAATGCATTTTTTATAAATAAATAAAGTTAAATGCAATTTTAGTGTTTAGTTACACTTTGTTTTTTTATCCAAAATTTACAAAATTAATAAAGTGATGCATTTAAAAGAAGCATTCATTTGAATTTAACTTTGCTAAGATTTTTTTTTCTTTTTAAAGTCTTCATTGCTTCTGGCCTTAATTGGTGAACTGCCATATGAAATAGGCCAGATTGCCATAAATGGGCGTGTCAGTTACTGCGGGCAGACCAACTGGGTGTTCAGTGGAACAGTGCGGGAGAACATACTGTTTGGGCACTCATTCAACCCTAAATACTACCAGCTTGTCATCAACGCTTGTGGTCTGACTAGAGACCTGGAGCTCTTGCCTAAAGGAGATCAGACTTTTGTAGGAGAGAGGGGGCTGCAGCTGAGTGGTGGCCAAAGGGCAAGATTATCCCTTGCCAGGTAAATTTTATGATTTTTTATACCAAATTAATGGGATGGTGTGCCCTAGAGATAGAGCTCTAGACTGCTGTCAAAAGTTAAATTCTGGCTCTGTTGGGTATCTAATTCACATTAATTAAAGTAAAAGTAGCTTGGTATAGTGCTGACCACACTTAGCCCTTCAAATCCAGAGGTCACAGAAACAGGTGAACTCTACTTCACTTGCCTCATGGGCTGTCAAGATTGAAAAGAGAATTTGTCTTTTTTTTTTACCAAACTACAGGCACTTTAGAAAGTACTCCTTTTTCTTTATTTTCAATTGTTATAGTAATCTACTCTATTATAACTATTAACTGTCACCATTTAATGCACCTTATGGCCTGTTGACTCCAATTTCAGCCTGCTTTTCTTTCTAGATTTGCTTCCTTTGTTCAACCTAGAACAGTGTCAAGGCAGTAGTTGTTTGATTCCAGAGTTTTTTCTCGCAGATGGCTGGCTGTTCCCTGCTAACAAATCTCATCTGCCCCGAGTTGAAACTCTTGTCTTTTGGATTAGCAACTGTGCCGTCTCACTCAAACACGCTATCCCCCCTATAAAGCACATTTCTTTAGTTTAGAATTTTAAAAATTGCTTCTGTTTATGGGATTATAGTCTCTGAATTTTTAAAAAAATTACTTGGCTTTATTCCCAGGTCAGTGTACCATAATGCTGATGTCTTTCTTTTTGATGATCCACTGAGTGCTGTTGATGCCAGTGTTGGTCAACATATCTTTCAAAGGTAGGAATTCAAATCACTGATTTTTTTATTTAATCTTGGAAACTTAATATTCCCTTAGTGTTAAAGTAATTCATTGGTATCACTTAACCAAATTTTGAAATTGCACCTCCAGTCACTAATTCTAATCAAACAGTGATACCATTTGAGAAAAACAAAATTTGATGCATATTTCATGAACTGGATTTTTTTTTAGCAAAGACATTTGAATTCTAAACTTTAAACTGTCACTAGGTGTATTCTTGACCTACTGAGGGAGAAAACTGTTGTTCTTGTGACCCACCAGTTACAGTACCTTAAGAAGGCAGATAGAATTGCTGTCATGCGTGAAGTGAGTAAAAATATAGCTCACATGTGAATGCTCATTATATTATCATTAAAAAATTCATACATTTTTGCTTACTTTTTTTTCCATCTGTTGCATGTATTTTAACAAGTGATTAAAATATATTAGTAGCCAAGATAAATAAAAGATTTTTCTGTTTTACCTAGAAAATTTGATTTTTTTCTCAGTTTGAAGAAATATATTACTTAATACCCCTACCATTTCAGGGATCCATTCATGACATTGGGACCTATGATGAGCTCAAGGCTCGTGGAATGGACATGAAAGCTCTGACCTCCTCAGATGAGCATCCTAAACATGCGACTGAGGCTGCCCTAGAGGCTGAGGAAGAGGCCAAGTTGTTGCTTGTAAGTACTGCAACATGTGCCACAGGTCACTGTAGCATGTGCATCAAATTGTTGTAACATGTTCCATAGCTTGCAACAACAATTATCGCAGGTGCCACACGTTGCTGTAACATGTGCCATCAGTTGCAGCTACAATTGTCACAGCTTTCTGTAGCGTGCCACAGACTGCTATGTGCCATTTGAATCTGGTTATGGTTTTACTTTTGTCTTCATAGCCTTGCACAACTTGCATAAACTCAACAATTCTTTTTTTTTAAAATATATTTACATAAATAAACATTACTATTTTTTCAAATAGCATTATTTTACAAGGATAGTTGATAATGATATTGGATCACAAGCCTAAACTTAACCTCAAAGGATATAAGTATTTATTATTCCTTGTGCTGTATCATCTCACAGTTGGAGAGTAAAACACTGCGGTTACCTGATGAGAACAAAGACACAGAAGAAGAGGTCCTGTCTGGCACTGTTGGCATCAAAGTCTACTGGAGCTACTTCTGTGCTGGATATGGCCCTGTCCTCCTACCTCTCCTGCTGCCACTCTGGTTTGCTGGGCCTGTAAGATGATCTTGTTTGTTTTATCTGTCAGCTAATGTGAACAGTTTTTGTGTGTATTGGAAGTTGTTTTTTAAGTTTTGACTTTCATGGTACTGTCATCTTTAGGTATGTTTGCTTAGTTTTCCTTTGATACAAATAATCAGTCTCTATTACCAAACTTCTGTTCTTTCTCCATACTAACCTGCTAGATACAATTTTTAAAGCAGAACATTGCAGACTGTGGAGGCCCTCATACCCTTTCTACACCATTACAATTACATCATATTTAAAAGGCTAACTAAAAAAATTAAATTATTTCAGGCTCTATTTTGTTTCTCTGACTGGATGCTAGCAGAATGGTAAGTTTCATGTGGTTTTATTCTCCTGAATTTCTTAGTAATATTTTTGTTCTAATATGTTTATTTAGATTGTTTTAAAAAGTTCTACTTTTTTGGTATTTTGAAAGTTTTTTTTACTTATTACATTTGCAATAAAATGTTAATATCAATACACATCTTCTTGTAGTATTCATTACAAATTATAATTTTTACTTTAAAATAGATCATGTTTAGTTAATTTTCAAATTTATCATTTTTAGATTTATGGTAACTTAATACTCTATTAGTCTTTGTTAAAGTTTTATTTTTCTAAATGTCCTGTATTACAGGGTAGGGACAACCAGCAAGAACCATAACCCACCAGGCCTTGAGTACAACAAATCTTTAGTAACCGTCCCATTAACTCTAGACCTGACATCATCCACCAAGTCCCCTCAAGGGGAGGGAGGGCTGCCAGTCACCATGACCTGGTACATCATTGGCCTGGTGACGAGCTGCGTGGCCTACATCCTGTACGCAGCTGTCTACCTGCAGATGACCGTGGTGGCCAGTCGCAGACTTCATGACAGAATGTTGAACAGAGTTATGAATTCTGTTTCAAGATTTTTCGACACACATTCTGTTGGTTAGTTTACAGTATAAGAACTTATCAATTACAACTTTTTTCATTGTTTAAAAAAATTATAGTTTTTTCTTTATTATTTCATTATTATTTCAAATAGTTTTTACTTTATTATTTCATTATTATTTCAAATAGTTTTTACTTTATTATTTCATTATTATTTTAAATAGGTTTTACTTTATTATTTCATTATTATTTCTATTATTTCATTTGAGAATTGTTTTGATGTAGTAAATAATACTTTTTACTTTGTTTTATTATTTTCAGGTCAGATTTTGAACAGGTTCTCAAGAGATTTAGGATTTGTTGATGATTCAGTTTCTATGCTTGGTTACCTTGTTTCTATGGTAATGTATTTTATTTTTAATTCAAAGTAAAGAAGATAGTTTAGTATACTTAATTGTTCTCAATATTTTTTTCTTTGCTCATTTAAAAATTAAATATATAAAGGACCAGCTAAGAGGACTTTGTTCTGATCAAGTGTTACAAATTTTATTGTTTAAAACAATTTTAGAACTCTTTTCTTCTTGATTTTAGAAAACGACACAGTTCCTTGGGTTTTTTATTGTGACAGTCATAGTCAATCCCTGGCTGACCATAGCAGTTGTTCCTGTAATGGTGTTAATTGTGCTGACCAGAATGTATGCACTTCGCACACTTCGACAAGTGAAACGGCTAGAGGCTAAGGGTAATTATTACTTTTCTAAACCTTTTCTTAGATTCGCAGATTAAATGCCACTATTTGTGACAGTCAGTAAAGCAAAGTACTATTTGCAACTGACGGTACAATGGAGCAGATTTTTTTTTCTACCATTAAACAGACTGCCAGGTAGAATAGTTAAGAACGAATTTGGGTATATTGATAATGCTGTTATCATTTCATCTCATAAACGGTTTTAAAACTATTTTATTGAAGATTTGTTTTTATCTCTACATCAGTTTTTTAAATAAAAATGTATTTACATTTTTTTGATTGGCCTATAATTTGATTTTAAGTTTTTTAGTATTTCAGCTCAACTTGTATTGAAAACATTGTATAAGAAGGCTACATATCACAAATTTTTATTCCAGTCTGTGCTCACATTATTCTGTCTTTTTGTTCCAGCCCGCAGTCCAGTCTACGCCCACGTCTCTGACACAATTCTTGGGTTGGAGACCATCAGAGCTCTGGGCAAGAAGGAACAGTTCCTGTCAGAGTTTGATGAGCACCAGAACAAGCACACCTCTGCCTGGTTTTTGCACCTCAGCTCCTACAGGTGGATGTCGGTGCGCACCATGATGACCGTGGTTGTCTACATGAATTTGATCATATTTGTCTCTCTGGCCCTGAAAGACTGTGAGTTAGTGTTTAATTATTAGTCACGTTTACTATGTCTTTTTTAACCATATATGTTTTTGGAGAAGGTTTGCTTTATTAAGTTGTTAAACAATAAACAGCAATAACAATTAAATTTTAGCTATGAATTTTTGTGTATGATATGCTTGATTTATTACTTCATAGATTTAGAGTTTAGGTTCTGTCTAATTACCAGGGGAGTTGAGTCCTCCTTTTGCATAACATGGAGATAAGAGTTACCTTATGAAACAGCTTGATAGAATGCTAATAATTCCTGTATTTCTTTTACAGCCCTCAATGGGAACTTGCTAGCCTTGTCATTGATCTACTGCATTGCCATGGCTGAGCCATTTGAGTGGTACATGAGGATCTCTGCAGATCTGGAAACTTACGTAAGTCCTTTTAAAAATGGGTTTATTTATTAACTTAGGTTCTTCTGATGGGTTTATTTTAATGTCTTTAAATAAGAAAAATATAGTTATAAATGCTAAAGTTTGTCATTTTGAAATGTTTTAAAAATATTTTTTGTTATGTCTTTTGTGAAATTATGTTTTATGCTTCCATAACCTAAGCAGTATTTTTTTTTAACAAGATAAAGTATTAAAGTAAACAAAAAAATACTTAATTTAGCATTTTGCTTTTATTGTACAATGCAATAGTTACTTATTGTGTTTATCATTGTTATGCATGTGTATCTGATGTTTCTACATTTAAGACTTGTCAAACTAATTATCTCTGTGTGTGACAGATGACATCAGTGGAGCGAGTACTGCAGTACAGTGAGTTGGACCAGGAGCCTCACAAGAACTCTGACAAGCCCCCGTCACCTGACTGGCCTGTCATTGGTGCCATCACCTTCACCAGTCTCTCACTCAAATACTCGCCTGACTCGCCTTATATCTTAAAAAAGATCGACTGCTACATCAAGGGAAAGGAAAAGGTATATTTTATTTATTATCTTGTTGAAAATTTATTTAGAACCTTTGATAATATATCTTGCAGTGTTGAGAAAAAAAAACTAAAAGTACCTTTAGAGGCCAGGCATTTCAAAATCTGTTTTTTTTTTGATAGCCATAATAGCTGAAGGATAAGCATTTTTTTAATAGCTGTAACATCTGAAGTATTAGCATTTTTTTACTAGCTTTAACATCTGAAGAATTAGCATTTTTTATAGGCTATTTTACTAGCTGTAACATCCGAAGTATTGACATTTTTACTAGCCTGCAGAATTAACTTGTCCAGGACAATCAATGTTCAGTTGTTTTTACTGCTCCCAATTGTTATAAGATAAACATGAAAGTTGGGTTGACTCTGAAAAAAGTGTTTATAATTTTAAAACTTAATTATCAGCCCAGCTTTCTAAGGTTTCAGAAATATTAGACCAATGTTGAAAATTTAGTTGAAGTGTTTATTAATGTTTTAATTTGCTACACAAGTAGTTTTTTTAAAAATTGCATGCACTACTTAACTTTTAGAACTTGTATCTGTATTTAAAATTTAGTTTTCTTTTGTTGTTTATGATGTGTTATCCAGAATGATTCAGTTAGTCCTTCCATTTTTTTTATATTTATGTCTGTAATATATACAACACATCCAGGTTGGCATAGTTGGGAGGACAGGTTCAGGTAAGAGCTCCTTAATTACCTCCCTGTTTAGACTGGCCCACCCCTCTGGAACCATCTACATAGACGGGGTGGATGCCAGCAAGCTGGGCCTGCATGAGCTGCGCAGCAAGATATCCGTCATCCCACAAGACCCAGTGCTGTTCAGTCAGACGCTGCGCTGGAACCTGGACCCACTGGAGGAGTTCAGTGATGAAAGGCTGTGGCATGCTCTAGAACAGGTGGGAAACTTGCTTGTTATATCTTAATTTGGTTTAAATATTTGGTGCTTTGTTGTTGGTTGGTTTGTTAGGCTGAAGGAATTTTTTAATACTGTTTAATGCAATTTGTAGTGCAGAGTAGTTTAAAAGCTATCATAAACATAGTAAAGAATTAATTTTTTTCTGTGTAACCTAAAATATTGAAATTGAACTTTAAAATTAAAAGATCGCTAGTTATGAAATAACTTTTTCTGCACAATCAAATGCTGGTTGAAGAAAAATAATTCTTATTTAGTACTGCAATAGATCTGAGAAAGGCTTAAGGGCTTAAAAATCATTCATTGGATATTTTAAAATATTTGGCTCTGAATTTTCTTAATAGTGGAGATCATCTTTTGATAACAATATAACTATCCTATATTTTAAAATAGCTCTGAGGGGTTGGGTAGTTAGCTCATGAATCATTTGGCTTTAGAACTAGTGTATACTTTAGTAAAAGTAGAATCTAAAGAAATAATTTGATATAACTAGTGTATAGATTAGTAAAAGTGGAATCTAAAGAAATAATTTTATAGAACTAGTGTATACATTAGTGAAAGTGTAATCTAAGGAAATAATGTACACAGGTCCAGCTGAAAAGGAAGGTGGAACAAATGCCAGGGAAGCTGTACACAGACCTACAGGAAGGTGGAGCCAACCTGAGTGTGGGCCAGAGACAGCTGATCTGCCTGGCTAGGGCTCTACTCAAGTACAACAAGATTCTTATCCTAGATGAGGCCACAGCCAATGTTGATCCTGAGTAGGTTGAGATATTTGTTTCAGTGTTCCCTCATACCATGTGTTGATGATTTTACCTTAACTGTGTTTAACTTAAATCTACAAACACTGCAGTACCTCTGTACCACCTCACACTTAACATCCTCTCACTCCAAGGTGGATTTTCTTCTAAAATATATCGAGCCACAATTCAGCTAATGGGAAGGTTTTTTCAGAATATGTGAAGGGCCTGTTAAATTTTGTAATATAAATAAATTCTACCCTATGGTTTTTCATAAGTGTGTTCTCAGAACCAAACCCCTAAATAATTGAGGTAGCAATTATCACTGTATGTACACTATTTAGTTGTATTTAAAACATTGTCATGGCCTAATGGGTTTATTTTTTAAAAAATTTGGCTATTTTTCATATTAAAAAATATTATTCTTTAAAACTACAATGTTTGATACTAATAGTGACTTCCTTTATGTTACCTTTTCAGTTTAAAATCATTTTTCATCTAGGAAGTATTTGACAATAATTTAAACAAAAAACAGTGTATGTAAAAGTTATTTTAATTGGGTGTTGAATTTATACAAAATTGCTACATAGCTCTTGTGGACAGTATAGTTGAGCAGGTAGAGTATACAACAGCTATCCTGAAGGTCATGAGTTCAATTTGGTTCAAAGTCTGTAGGACACCCATAAGTCCATTTAGTTCTATTTTGGTGTTTTTGACTTGTTGGCTTCAGTGCGTTATTTATTTTATAAATTGTTATTACAGAACTGATGATATAATCCAGAGGACAATCAGAGCCAAATTTAGAGACAGCACAGTTTTGACAATAGCTCATCGTCTGTATACAGTAATGGATTGTGACAGAATAATGGTTTGTTGTCACTGTTATATTGATTTGTGTGCACATTTTTATGGTCCCTATATTCACTTAGCACCAGTGACTTAAAGACTATATCATTTCTCCAAATCTAAACCCTTAGATTGATTTTTATTATAATAATTCAATACAACAAATCAAATGTTTGATAGTAAATCAATCAAGCCCTATATGATTTATAATATATACATATAACAATTTTGATAGTATTTTATTATGTTTTTATGTACAATTTTTTTTTACCTTATCCCCAACCACAGGTGCTAGAAGATGGTGAGTTAAAGGAGTTTGATTCACCGTACAATCTGTTACAAAAATCTGATGGCCATTTTTCCAGATTGGTTTTAAGCCTTGGGAAAAATCAAGCCAAACAGTTGCAGGTATTGCCAAAATTAATCTATGTTGTATTGGAAATAGATGCTAATAAATGTTGTTTTTTTTAAATTTCTTTGTTTGTACTTATGAAAAAAATGTAATTTTATTTCTTGACTCAACTGAAGGAAAAATCTTAAGTAATTTGGTTCATCATGGCAAGGAAAAAATCCCATTTAATTTTTTTTATCTCAAAAGCAACAAAAAAAAATTCCATTTTATTTGTTGCTCAAAAGCCAAAAAAAAAAATCCTATTTTCATTTTTGTCTTAAAGCAAAAAAAAAAAATAACTAGAATTTATTTAGTGACTCAAGAAAATGAAAAATGACATTATATTTGATGCCCACTCACATAATTGTTCTATGTGGCCAGGCGCTGGCCGAGTTGTCCCAGCACCAGAGAACTTCAGCCTGTCTACAGCTACAGAGGGCCATGCTGTTAGCCAATGAACAACTTGCTCAAAGCACTGAAGACCTCAGTGCTGGCCGTGCTGCCCTGAGATGGAACAGGTTCACACACAGCCAGGATTCCCTTGATAAAGTGAGCTCTATTTTATACTGTCATAAAATAGTTAAAACACTGTGACATTATATAGTCAGGATTCTCTTGATAAAGTGATCTCTCTTTTGTACGGTCATGAAATAGTTTTAAGAAACTAACATTATATAGCCAGGATTCTCTGAAGAAAGTGAGCTCTCTTTTATACTGTCATAAAATAGTTTAAAAAACTGTGACATTATATAGTCAGGATTCTCTTGATAAAGTGATCTCTGTTTAATAATACTGTCATAAAATAGTTAAAAAACTGACATTAACATAGCCAGGATACTCTGAATAAAGTGAGCTCTCTTTAATAAAGTTATAAAATAGTTTTAATAAACATTCTTTTTAAATTTATATTTCAACTTCTTGTATAAAAGCAATATCACATACAGTGTCATTTTTATTATTATTCTAAAACCATTAGCTTTATGCTATTTTAAAATTTTGTTTAAGTAAACAATCATACTTATTATGAAAGAAACATTTTAGATGTATTTTAAGCAATACAAGTAGAATATTATTTTTAACACCTATTAAAACTACATCTATAAAAAATCAAACTTATAAATGTTGTTTCCATTTTTTAACTATTCTGCCTTGAAATATTCTTTAAAATAATTTAAATTACATTATTTATTAAATCATACTGTTTTTTTAAATTTTACTTGTAAAGTAATTTTTAAAAATTGTTTCCATTTATAGTATTTATAAATCATACTTGTAATATTTAAGAACTTGTTAATTTTCCCTCATTATGACTCAGGCACAATTGGAAAGTATTGTTGAGAAAGATAAGAAATCCATCGCTCCCTCACAACGAATCATTAGACGCAGAAGCCCAGGCCGCACCAAAAGAACAATAGAGGAAGAAGAGGAGCTGATGAGCTACGACACGCCTCCAAAAACCCGTCAGGTCTTCGGCACAAAAAAACAAAATGATAAAAGAAACACAGACTCCTTCTCATCCCATTCTAAGGAGAGTTCCTGGGGACAGTCTGAGGAAACAGCCAGCACCACTTTGGATCAGTCCAAGAAAGATCTAACAGCCAGGCTGCAACAAGACAAGCAGAAATCTGGACCTGATCAGAAGGTACCTTTTGAGACAGATGTGGACTTTGAACCTGCTAGACGAAGGTCTGGTGGGAATACCCACAGCAGGCAGATGCAGGGGAGTCCCACATCGAAAACTGCCCCACAGAAGTTGTCAGACTCGCCTAAACCATTGGCCAACAAGGCTATTTCTTCACCCAAGTACAATAACTCTGCCACTTCCCCTCCATCCAGTAGAGTGATAACAGGTCCTTATGTCCCCTTAGCTAAGGATGAAAAGGAAGAATTTGTTTGAAACAGCTTGATATTACTTGTAGGTAAGAAATTTTTACTCAGATCCTGTTACTGTTTTGAAAAATGTTATCTTCTTAAACGATCATCAGTTCAATATTAATCAAGCCACAGTAGATTTTTATTCCTGACTGTTTTTTTACAACTATTTACACAACTTCAGTTTACAAAACTTATTTTAAGATCACCGAGAATTATGTTGCGGTTAATGTATTACAGCAGTTTGCTGCTAATGCAAAATGGGAGTGGTTTTTAGAGGATTTTTATGTAAATGAAGATGGCTTTTAGAGTATTTTGTTGGACCTGAGATGGTTTTTTTAGAGAATTTTAAAAAAAAAATTATGATGGCTTTTATGGAATGAGCTAGCTTGTTTTTATTTGACTCATTCTTTTTAGAAGTGACTTGCAGATTTTATGAAAGAGATTTTTAAATGTTTAAAAGGCTGAATATATTTTTGTGAAACTTTACAAACTACTCATGCCATAGCTAAGTTTTAAACTATTTCACTCTATGACAATAATGTTTTAACTTTTGAAACATGTTACTGTGTAACAAGGTGAATACATTGAGTCCTGTGCACAAAAATCGCACCAGGCTGAGAGAGTAGAAATGTTTGACTGTGTTTTCTCCTAGACTGTTGCCTCACTAATTCTTGCCAAAGTGGTGGACATGCATGCTAAACATGTCCCTCACCACATCACCTGTCTATTTGTTTTGTTCTATCTACTTCATTAACCGGACATTCTTTCACACTGTGTGATGCCTTGCATCCTTCACAATTCTCTGATGGTGCTCTCTCTTTTCTTTTCTTTTTTTTGAAGTTAGAAAGTACTGTGATAAATATTCATAATAGCTGTAAAAACAAAAAGGTTTCTTTTTAAAGTCATGGTGGTTTGTAATTTTAAAAAGTCGCTGTTCAAGCTACATGTTTAGTTGATATTAGTTGATTCTACAAGTGAATGCCTTCAAAGTGTTTTAACGAGATGTTTAACAAACAAATTTTTATATGGATACTTATACCCATTGCATTTACAAGTTCTCTCTTTCTCTGTATGTTATGTGCTTATATATCAGTATTTGTTCTTACACCTCATCGTATTATCCCAGCATAGCCTTAAGCAAGAACTCTTCTTGCAATGAAGATTAAAATAATTGTATTTTTTTCAATGAAATCTTTGGAGAATCATTACCTCAGGTTTTTTTTTAATATATAAATTATTTAATGTATTCTGTATGTAATTTAAAAAAAAATTATTGATTATGAATTGAGAGAACTAATAAGGTGGGGAGGGGCAGGGTGCATTGTTTGTTATACCTCTATGCATTTAACAGTGAGAAGTACCAACATGGTGCAAATATAATAATAGCAGCTTTTAAAGCAGTTATTATTCTCTTCAACATTGCGTCCAATTACAATGACAAAAACAGGCGTTTCAAAAACTACATATGATAATAATGGCTAATGTTGATAAAACTATTTAATACTTGGTACATGATTTCATGTTGGTATGTAGTTGTACTGATGTCTTTGTTATATCTTACCAGTGTTATTTTATCAGTGCTAAACATGTATTTTTTTTTAATAAAAAATTCAGCTGTATTGTATTTGTAGAATGGAAATGCTCAAAAAATTTTTTAGCTGAATATTTACTTAAGGAGATAGAGGGTGGTATTAGGCTAAAGTTGAGTTGATTTATTATTTCTTAAATCAACACATTTAAAAAAAATCTTTTTACCAAATGTACATATTTATAAAGATTTATTACTATACACTATAAAATTATATATATATATATTTACATATGACATGTGAGAAATATTTAATCATGTATTCGAGTAAAGCGTGTAATCTCCTTTAAATGTGGGGGGTCAGCTGTAGTAATCTATAGATATCGGTATTAAGTCCCAAGATATCTTTATCCTATGTCAACTCTACCAAATCTTAGGCCAACTCTCACAAATCTTAGGCCAACTCTACCAAATCTTAGGCCAACTCTATCAAATCTTAGGCCAACTCTACCAAATCTTAGGCCAACTCTACCAAATCTTAGGCCAACTCTACCAAATCTTAGGCCAACTCTACCAAATCTTAGGCCAACTCTATCAAATCTTAGGCCAACTCTACCAAATCTTAGGCCAACTCTACCAAATCTTACACCAACTCTACCAAATTTTAGGCATACTACAAAATTCTAGGCCAACTGTACAAAGTCCTAGGCCAGTTGCACAAAATGCTAGATTATCCATACTAACCCTTAGACCAACTGTACTAAATCTTAGACCAACTGTACTAAATCTTAGACCAACTGTACTAAATCTTAGACCAACTGTACTAAATCTTAGACCAACTGTACTAAATCCTAGGCCAATTGAACTAAATTCTAAACCCGCTGAACTACCCCACATCTTTGGCCAACAGCATCACCCAGCACACTTTAAAAATTGTATTAAAATTCTTGAAGACAGGCATTATTATTGATATTACTTTTTTAACTTTGCATGTACATAATCTATTTTACCTTTGTATTTTTGTGCTGTCAGCAATTGTATACTCTAGTCATGTTGTATCATATCCATTAATGGTTATGCATATGCTGTTTACCATGCTAGTAGTTCAACATATAACCATCCTGTTATTTTGTTTCACACCATTCCAGATTCATTTTTTTATTTTATGTTTTATTTTCAGCTTAGAGCTTTGAAGTATTTATGGTATTTTATTGCGTTAATTGTATTAAGTATTTTATCTTTTATATATTTTTTATTCTTATTTAGCCATCTGCTTTGATGTGTTGATAATTTTATAAACTTTTTGCAAGTGTAAAACTTTGACAATTGAACGACATTTTAGAATATTAATGAATCAATTAGCCTACAGTAATAATTTAGTTATGAGTTCGTCAAAAAGTGTTTTATCTTCAATGAATACAATTGTATAAATCTGAAATGGATTCCCCATAAATAAGTTTGGTTGTGACTCATATTGTTTAGATGAAATAAGCCATTGTGCTATAGTGAATACCTTAACTATCAACCATATATTTATTTTCACTAATCAAAAACATCTAACATGCTTAAATTCACTGGTATTTACTTATAGCTTTTATGCTGCTATTTATTCAAAACCAAAAATCAGTTGTAAGAAAGAATCAAAATTTGTAACACCTGGAGGGGATAGGACAGTGTCAGAATTTGGTTTTTCCTATCCTAATATATATTTGTTTCTAACATTTGAATGTTAGTATTTTATTAATGTAAATCATGTTATCTTCTCTAGTATTTTAGTATTAGATATAATTAGATAGTAGATTGAAAAAGTGTTGGATGAAATAATATTAGGTAAAATTAGATATTAGATGGAAAAAATGTTAGATGAAATGAGAAATTAGATGTAATGGGATATTGTATTCAGTTGGTATTAGACCAAATGATACCATCAATTTCCTCTAAGATGGAATAAGATTAAAAAAGCTGTTAACAATTAAGTGTGATATACACCCTGCCTAATTGTTCTGGCTAGTTTCAATGTTAATAGAATATTTTTTGTTTTACAAAAAAAATTATTGAAGATGTTATAGACCAAATTTTTTAATTTTTTAATGAGTATCTCCACAACTTATATGTGCTTTCTTCTCCCTGATGCTTACATTGCTTTTATACCATTTGCTGTTTATGTTGAATAAATTGTTGATAGAAGGTTTACAAATTAGAACAATTTTTTTTTATCCTGCCCCATAGTTTAAGGTCCACTTATGGGTATCTTGAGTTATTTAGACTTTGATCAAACTTTTATGTAGATTTTACTCCAACTAAGACAGCTTTTTAATAAACTGTCAGTTTAACTGTAGTCTTATTTTTATATATTTTTAAAATAATGTTGGGTTATATTTTTAAAATGAGTACAAATAGAATAAAATATATCATGTTTTTAATGGGTGGGTATTATAAACATGGGAAGTAACTCACACATAGAATAAACAATACATAATATATGGAACCTGTTTTGTGTAAAATTCATTGAAATTAGTTCTGCTTCAATAAGGCATGTATGTATTCTAAAGTGATTGATCATGTTTTTTTAGTTTTTACAGCAAGTCATTTTGATAAAGTTCTGTTTCAGTTTTCTTTTTTTTTTTCACTGGCATACTTTTTTTCTTCTGTGAACTGCTTTTTAAAAAAAATATTGTGTTTAACTTATTTTAATCTTTTTTTTTTTAAAGTTCTATGTGGCATTCTAAACAAGCTAAATATAGGCTAAACCTATTTCTGTTTGTTACTGAGTGTGGTAGTATTTTTTATTTATTTTTAATGAGCTTCAGAAAATGATCCAGAATATAATTTTTAAACTTAAATAAGATGTATCTTTGTTTAATTTTATATTGCTTTTATAAACCATATTCCCTTATTACCTAAAAAATCTCATCAAAATCTTACAGTCCAAAGAATTTAAATGCTTTATTAAAATTATTTTAAAATTGAAACTTGATTGATCGTTGAATGACGTCATTAGAGTTTTTTGTTAGGTTTACCTTGTATGATTGTACAACAAGTAAGGACCTTGTTAACTATTCCAGCTGATAGAAGCTTATACCAGCTACTATGTTGTGTAGCATTGTTAGGTTTACCTTATATGATTGTACAACAAGTAAGGACCTTGTTAACTATTCCAGCTGATAGAAGCTTATACCAGCTACTATGTTGTGTAGCATTGTTAGGTTTACCTTATATGATTGTACAACAAGTAAGGACCTTGTTAACTATTCCAGCTGATGAAAGCTTATACCAGCTACTATGTTGTGTAACGTTTATCCAACATTCCACTTATGCTTGACTCAAAATGTTTCAACATTCCAGTTTACTGTAAACTCATTTATTTAGTAGATGTTTAAATCTTCATTTCTCACATTTTTTTTATTTAGTAGATGTTTAAATCTTTAATTTCTCACTTTTAAATACATCTCTTCCACATTTATTTTGTAGATGTTCAAACATTCATTTCTCCCTCTTTGACTTTGGAAGTGTTCAAATCATAATTTTTCCCTTTTATTTATATATTAGATGTTCAAATCTTCATTTCTATATTTTTAATTAGCAGATGCTCAAATCTTCATTTCTCCCTATTTTATGAAGCAGAAGATGTCCTTGATGTCAATAGTCTATTTCTCCCTGTCCTGTTTTATCCCAGTCTAATTTGTCAATGTGCTCTCATTGTTTTTTCATCAAAAATTTATTTCTACCTTTAAAATTGTTTTGTGTATTGTTGATATAAAACAAGTGACCAAAAATATGTGGACAGTTTTTATGATGTTTGGGCTAGTTTAAAATATTTCAGTTCATCAACCAGCAGTCTAAAAACAAATTGGGTTTATTAACCAGCAGTTTAAAATATTTCAGTTAATCAACCAGCTTTCTAAACAGTTATTGAGTTCATCAGTTTAACTAATGTGTGAATGGATCTAATGTGACACTCTTATTATTAAAAAAAAGACAAATTTCTAATTAATATATTTTTATGTTGTTTTAAATACTGCAAGTTTTTTCTTTTTCGGTTAAATCTTTGATCACCCACAGCATAATAGTTTGGTCTTTGTGAAATGTATAAATAAAATTCTTATTGTAATCTACACATTTATCTTGTTTACTGTTATTAATTGAAGTTCCATTTTGAAAAAAAAAAGCATTTTTAAATCGGTCTAATTTTGTAAAACAAATTCCACTCGGATGTATAGCGGTGCGATTATGGTATGTAGTAACTGTCCAGTACGCGTCTGAGTATTGTTATATAAGTGTGGGGTTCGTGTGGTCGGATATGTTGGACGTCTCTGAGTCCACCCAGCTCTTATGGGTATCAGAGTTACTTCCAAGCATTTCTTCGGGGGGGGGGGGGAATACTTTACCAGTTTCCACCCCCCCCCCCCTCAATAGTTTCAAGTGCCCCCCCCCCCCACCCCGGAGAAAAAAGTCTGAAAGAAACACTGATGGGTACCTGACTCATTGGAATAGATCAACCCTTCTGCATCTGCCATAAGTGTTTGTGTCACGAACAGGGAAAGATGATGATAGCCTACCTCTAAGTAACCATATTTTATTAAAATTTAAAAAAATGATGATTCAAAATCTGGTAGCAAACTAGAATTATGTAACCAAATTAAGCCTAATGTGTGATGTGTAGTTGGCTCAGTCGAGAGCTCTAATAATGGTCGAGCGAGAGAGGGGAGGGTGAGATGAGGGGATGTTAACATCTTAAGGAAGGTGTGGGCAGATGATGTACAACAAGTGTCATATGAAGAGAGATTTAGGTCACTCGTGTCACGTGGTGGCTGGTAGATGGGCTGTTGGTCGACCGTCTTTAACCGGCGGCTATGTGACGTAAGACAAGAAATTTGCGACATAATTAGGTCAGTGTTGTTACGTCAGTTGAGTTGTGTGCTGTTGTTTTGGCTGGTACTAATACGAAATTTTCAGATGATCAGAAGCAGGAGAAGATTGGTAGGATACCTTGGATGAGGGGAGGGAGGGCTAACTGTGAGATTATGAGGGGAAGAGGGAAGATAGGACAGTTGAGATATCTTGTATTAGGGGAGGGAGGGGACGATAGGTAAGATAGCTTGTATGAGGGGATAGGAGAGAACGATATGTGAGATACCTTGGATGAGGGGAGGGGACGATAGGTGAGATAGCTTGTATGAGTGGGTGGGGGGGGGAGGAGAACGATGTGTGAGATAGCGTGGATGAGGGGAGGGAACGATAGGTGAGATAGCTTGTATGAGGGGATGGGACGATAGGTGAGATAGCTTGGATGAGGGGAGGGGACGAACACAGGTAGAGATGTTGAGGAGACCGAGGCTGCACTTTTGTGTGCCTTCACGTCAACTAGCATCACGCCTAAACCAAATGGTTCTACACCCTTTGCGTGAAGACGAGACGTCCCTATCAGTATATTTGTTGTATTTGTTCGTAGACACCATAAACAAATTTGTATTAATTAAGCAGACAATCAACTGTTGTTTAACCACCAACAACAAGCTGAGTTATTTATAGACCTGGTGTAATGGACATCCCAGCCATGGCTTGTTTCATTTCCCAAGAAAATAAAAAGGCTCAAGTGACGAATACCGGATGTCAACGAGCCCACTGTGCACCCTTGTTAAGAAAGTTAATTACTTAATTTATAAAAGCAAAAATTAAATCTGAATCTTTTCAGAAATGGTTTATCCGTTTAGGTTCCCACTTGACCTTTGACCAGCAAGAGAGATCGGTTAGAGATTATATCTGTGTATCCGTCCACCGCAACAATGATAATCGGATCCGGTTTAGAAAAAGAACCGATCCTGTATCCTTGCACTCGGATAATTTTCAGGAAAATAACGACACTCAAAAACTGTTTTTTTTTCTCCTGTAGACAAGTATCCGTAAATCTTGCTCACAAACAAAACTTAATGCAGACGTTAAATTCAACTCAGCCAATTCCACTGTATAAAAATTAAATGTTTGAGTCTTGAGTGTTTAAGAAGTTATGACGCCTGGGGGATCATAAAATACGTGATATAGGTCTAAATAATACAGTGAATTTAGGGGTCATCCATACATGAAGTCACGCTTATTTTTGGCGATCGATTTATACCCCCCCCCCCCCCTTTCACTGTTACACATCGTCACAAAAAGCCAGACCCCGCCCCCTAACAGGATGTCACACCTCAGCATCAGTGGCGTAGCCAGGATCGTCTCATGGGGGGGGTTCAAATTTGTTCCAGCATTTTATATATATATATATATATATATATATATATATATATATATATATATATATATATATATATATATATATATATATATATATATATATATATATATATATATATATATATATGTGTGTGTGTGTGTGTGTGTGTGTGTACATATGCATGTGTAAGTGCGTGCGTGTAAAGTATTGGTGGCTGGTGACAATAGAAACTCGTGGGTGCCACCGACTAACTTATCTTAGTATTAGCTATTGTTTTGTAACAAGTAACACATGTACACTATCGTAAAAAATTTATAAAAATCAAATTTCCATCATTTTCAGCAGTTTTCTCCAACTAAAAATTTCCTTGTCGGCCGCAAAATATTAGAGATTCTATTATGGGCGCTAATCTTAAACGATTTTCTTGAATTTGTTGACTTATGATGAATTTAAGGAGATTTTAATAAGTTAATTTTTTTTCTCCATCACCGATTTACGATTTTGGGAAAGTAAAATTGCTCTTTTATGATACTCACATTGCTGGTGCTCATTAAACTTGTCTGTTGCCTTTTTCCAGTTTGAAAATGAAATTTTTGATAGCTTATCCATAGGCTGACTACCTACACCACGATAATTCAAACTAATCAAAACACAATATTTGCAAAATGCGCCATCAAGTAATTTGGAATAAGTCAATCAGTTCCACCTAAGTAGCCACAAATATTGAAACTTTAAATTTCTTTGTCCGCTTGCTGGAAATTTTAAAAGTTCATCAGGACGCCAGATGTTTTCTAATAAATACAACCGTGTATCGTCTGTTATAACTCCTTTGATAAAATTGCCGATATCATTTGCGTAAGAAACAGTCGAAGGTGCTGAATTTATGGAAATTTCTTGATGTAATGTACTTTGAAAAGCAATAGTACCATCTTCATTTTTATCATTTTCAGTTTTACTTTTCTTTGTAAAGAAATCAGTTAATAAAGTAGTTTTTAATTTCCTTTTTCCTTCCGCCATCATTAAAATGAATTTAAATTGCTTGAAGTAGTTAAAAGATACACATTAAAACACGACTATACGAAGAAGAAAGCAAATTATTATTGGTCTTCTATTCTGTCTAAATTGACTACTGTAGGTGCCTGGCTTTACATCTATATTTAACCAAATACGCAGTTTTTTTTTATATAGCCTACCAACACAAAGTTTTGTGTCAACAATTGTGGGTCAAGCCCACGCCTTCCTGCCAGATGTGCATCCGGTAGTATTTTATAATTGATACGTACCAATATTCATCCCACCCTCACCCCCTTTTACACCCCTTAACTGATAACCTTGTTCAGCTTTCCCTTCGCCTATTGCGACCCTGAGTGTTTGTTGTTTAAGCACTGAATGATAGCGACACAAGTCCATCGTCGTCAATAGCTGTAACTTAACGTAAAGGATTGTCATTTTGAAGGTTCTACCCCCCCCCTCCCCTCACCCCTGCCTACTCCTCCCTCTGCCATCTTTATCATTTTCAGTTTACTTATCTTTTTAAAAATTAAGTGAAATGAATTTCAAATGGTTTGAAGTAGTAAAAACATACACATTATAGAACCTCAATGCGAATAATAATCAATTCCTTTGTTTGTTTTTCATTTCTAGACGCTTTCTGATTGCACTACAATCATATTAGACAACAAAGGCCTACCCACGTAGCCCACCCCTCCCTTTCGACACTCCTTAACTGATCTAACCTTGGCCAACTTTCCCTTGGCCTACTGCGTTCCAGATTATTATACTTTACTTTAGCGCGATAATAAAATTCATAACTAAATTCTACAGGCAATTCTCATCACAATGATATACATTGTTGTTCTAGAGGCTGCCAGGCTTAAGTGTTTAGTGTTTAAGCCCTAAATAATATTGACACAAGTCAATAGCTATAGCTTAACGTAAAAAAGTAGTCATTTTGGGGGTCCATGGGGGGGGTTATAACCCCCCCCTAACCCCCCCCCCCCCTGCCTACGCCACTGCTCAGCATACAACCCACCCCTCCAAAATTGCAGTTTAATTGTTTTTAAAACATTAATTTCTTTCTAAAATATTGACTGAGCTCGGTCAACATAGAGTACATCAATCAATTTCGAATACAGTTTACAAAAACAGCTTTCTAAAACGTAAAATAACGGCTAAAATTCAGCTATTAAGATTTTCTTTTTAAAAAAATGAAACAGTGTGACGTCACACTTTCTGAATCCCCCCCCTCCTAACACATCGTCAATAAATTTGGTATTATATAAACATGTTACTACAAGATTAAATCAAATACCAGGTACTTTGATGAACTGCTTTTCGCAAAATAAAAAATCGTATATTAAAAGTAATGTCGGAGTATTGACGTCACGAAAACCATAAAATTGGTTGTAATATAGCACCAGGCAAGAATAAATACCACATCCACTATGTCCCACTCTATTAGAGAACGTGATGCCACATCCACTATGCTCCACTCTATGCATGAATGTAATACCAGCCCATAAAGATCCACTACATTATTATATGCGACAGCTCGCTCGCAACACTTTCAACGCTTTCTCTTAAAAATAATTGTGAGAAATTATAAAACTTCGGAGGGAGGGGGTAGAGGTAGACGTGCTTCAGGGGTGGGTACTTCCCACCCCCTCCGAAGAGATGCCTAAAAGAACAAGTGCATAGAACATATAGGCTTTTATATCGGCCTACTTAGCCTAAATGTTTACGAAATAATTTTGAAAACTACCCCCCCCCCTGCTCCCGTTCACATGCACACCGTAACAAAATCCAGATCACAAATACATTAACATTACATGTCAAGCACACACACACACACACACACACACACACATATATATATATATATATAT